GGATGACTGCATGCCGCTAAGGGACTGTGGGCCATGCCAACTGTGGGGCTTGTAGGAAGTTCTTCTGTGCACACAAAGCGGGCTTCATCAGCTTGATAGCGGTCGCTTCTGCTGTCGCTAGCAGGCGCTGACCCAGGGACTTCGGATAATTTGGCGTGACCCTGAAGATCACTCGGAGAGCTTCGTTGGGGTCCACCCGATGTCCGGAATCGACCATGTGCGCCAGAATAGAGCTGTTTATACTCCTGACTTCACCTTTTCTCAGCGATGTCGGGAGGTGTTCCTTTATTCTCTTGGATAGGCGCCGGCTCGTATGACCAATATAACCTGCTCCACAGGAACAAGTGAAAGAGTAGATGCACTTTGAGGTGGTTTGTGCTGGTAACCTATCCTTAACTTCTGTGGCTGCCATTTATACCCCAACATTGCAAACGGATGAAACAGTTAAGACTAAGTTCTATGAACGCCTTCAAGCTACAGTGGCAAGGATACCCCTCTAGAGACTTGCTCTTCGTCGCCGGAGACTGGAATGCCAGGACTGGCCCGTGCGACGCAACCATGAGGCTCATCATCGGAAAATACGGACTGGGACAACGTTGCAACAACGGAGAACGATTGGTAACATCCGTTGATTATAACCATTTTGACGTTACAGGCAATGGTTTTCAACACCCTCATTGGCAGTTGCTAATGTGGTATTCAAACGATGGTCAAACGGCAAATCACATAGACTACATCTTTGTACGCTCAAGGTGGGCAATCTCAGTACCCGACAGCCGATCGTTTCGAGGTGCAGGAGTTGGATCAGACAGTGAACTTGCCCATGCCCGCTGCAAGCTCCGCTTGTCGAGTCAAAGTAAGAGATTGCCCACAAAACGTGTCAACGTTATGGCACTATCAAACACAGAAACCCGTGTAGCGTTCAACGAAAGTCTCACTGCACAGATCTTAGATCAATCCACTGTTTTCATCGAACCTCCAGATAACGTCGATAATCCAAATTCGCCCGAGCTCGCAACAACAGGTAGTACCGAGGAAGGACTGGGCCTCCACAACGACCCTCAATCTCTCGGCTAAAGCTAGGATCGCTCGGTTGTCAAACTCAGAGAAATACCGCTCACTGAGACGTCAAACTGCGCGATCAGTCAGATGTGACCGTCAGAACCATTGGACTGAGTTAGCTGGCTCCATGGAATCAGCTTCAA